CTGAGCCCTAAGTGTGAATTTGTCAGGATTTTTCATTAGGTGAGAGAAAACCCAATGCACGACAGACCCCAGTGCAGGGTATTTACACGTATTAACTCTCTATGGGCAGCTTCGCCCCCGGCTCAGAGGGGGCAAGTGGGACCTCACTTGTTGCTCGGCTTCTTCACTATGAGCTGAACTCTAGGCAGAAAAACCCCTCGAGGGAAGGAAATGAACGGCAGGGTCCTGGGCTCGCCTAGTCCAGAAATCCTCTCTGTCTCTGAGCTCAGGACTGTGACCTCACATGCACATCATGGAATTTCTTCTTTCATGGTTCTAATTTAATTTTAATTTTTAAATTTAAGTGAAGTTACTTATGAGTCTCCCCTGGTGGCTCAGGCAGTAAAAATGTCTGCCTGCAATACGGGAGACCCGGGTTCGATCCCTGGGTCGGGAAGATCCCCTAGAGAAGCAAATTGGCACCCCACTCCAGTACTCTTGCCTGGAAAACCCCCTGGACGAAGGAGCCTGGTAGGCTACAGTCCACGGGGTCGCAAAAAGCCGGACATGACTGAGCGACTTCACTTTCTTTGCTTTTGCTATAGTTACTTATAAGGTGTTAATTTCTGACGTACAGCCAAGTGATTCAGTTATACATACACACATTTTTAAGTATTCTTTTCCATTATGGTTTACCATAGCACATTGAATAGAGCTCCCTATGCTATACAGGACCTTGAAGCTTACCCAACTATACATAATCGCTTGGATCTACTAACCCCAAACTCCCAGCACCTCCCTCCCCCACCCTCTTCCCCTTGGCAACCACGAGTCTTCTCTGCGTGAGTCTGCTTCTGTTTTGCAGACAGGTTCATCTGTGCCATATGTTAGATTCCACACGTAAGTGACATCATATGGTATTTGTCTTTCTCCTTCTGACTTGCTTCACCGTAAATCCCCCAAAGCCACGTGACACATTTCCCCGTCTTAATATCCAGACCGCTGCACACACTGTAACCTGACGCTGGTCTTCTCTGGTCTGCGGCAGCGATGCCCTTGGGGGGTGCTGAGCTGGATGGCACTTCTTGCCCTTACATCAAAGGGTGCCATGTCATCCTGCATCCTTTGTTGGACGCTATGGGATTGAGGACAAATATGACCTAATCTGGTCTGGAGTGTCCGAAAGGCTTCCAGGCCCCAGACTTATTAGCGTAATGTATACCTCTACTGCTTGGAATAGTTGATCTTAATACACTTGCAGATTTGTAACTACAAACCTAGTATGCCAGAAATTATATTATGAGACTTTCTAAAAAGGAATGACAGGTCTCTCTCACTCCAAGTTTCCCTATTGCATGTAACTTTCTTGATTGCAACAATGCAAAAATCATACAGGTTCTGAAGATGAGGTCTATAACCACAGACAAAAACCCTGCCTCTAAAACAACCCAGAGCTTCTGAAACTTGCTCCAGTAGGAAGACAATCACCAAAGATGCATTCCCTCCAAAAAGGCATACCCTCCAACACCCACCTGATGTGTGGCTATGAAAAGTAGGGGGAAGGAAAAACCTCACAGAAGGCCTCAGAAAGTTATGAGGTTTGAGAGATTTGAACTACGAGAGAGATTTCCTCCCACAGAATATAAACAAATGTTAATGCAAGGATCCTCCCACTGAGCGCAGAAGAGTCTCCCTCTGTTTGGCCATCACTGCTATGAACTGGTGATGGCTGTGTATGTCCCATTCTTCTGAATGAGCATTTTTATTGCAAGGTGACTTCACTACTGAACGAGGGCAAGTAACTCTCAAACTCTTTTTCAGCAGAGCTGGGAGAGGGATGCAATCTACAGATTCCACCATACATGTCAGGGTCACCCAGAGAAGCTGAGATTGCAAAGGCAACGTGGGAAAAAATAAAGAGAAGAAGTACAGAGAATGATTAAAGGGCCATTGGTGGCAAATCTCAGAAAGTGTCAGTAAAAATCCAATTATGAAAGTGAGGGTCTCACCTTGAACTTGAAAAGCTACATCCCTGTTTGCACCAAGTGTGAAATACAGTGTGAACAGGAAGAGCCGCAGAAGCCTTCCTGAGCTTGACCTGGTCCAGGAAAACAGAAGACGCAGCCCTGGGCAGAGAGGAACACAGACGGGCCGGTCTGCAGGGGGCGCTCCGCCTCACCGGCCGCGGCAAAGGGCGGCGTCTTGGCCTGTGCCGCCAGAAAGGGGACCGGCTTCTCCCCGCTCTCCTCTTCCAGCCCCACGGAAGAGTGAGCAGAGAGTCGGTCCAGGAATATCCGGTTTGTTTGGCATCAAAAGAAAACGGCTGGGCATGAAGATAAAGCTTCCATTAAAAGAAAAAAGTGGAAGAGCAGCAAAACTTTCCAGTGAAGGAAAGANCTCACGCTAGTCAGAATTGCTGCTATCCAAAAGTCTACAAACAATAAATGTTGGAGAGGGTGTGGACGAAAGGGAACCCTCTTACACTATTGGTGGGAATGCAAACTAGTACAGCCACTATGGAGAACAGTGTCAAAATTCCTTAAAAAACTGGAAATAGAACTGCCATATGACCCAGCAATTCCACTGTTGGGCATACATACTGAGGAAACCAGAAATGAAAGAGAGACATGTACCCCAATGTTTATCGCAACACTGTTTATAATAATCAGGACATAGAAGCAACCTAGATGCCCATCAGCAGACGAATGGATAAGAAAGCTGTGGTATATATACACAGTGGAATATTACTCAGCCATTAAAAAGAATGCATTTAAGTCAGTTCTAATGAGGTGGATGAAACTGGAGGCTACTATACAAAGTGCAAGTAAGTCAGAAAGAAAAACAATATAATATATTATAGTGTATAACATACAATACAGTATATTAACACATATATATGGAATTTAGAAAGATGGTTACCCTATATGCGGGACAGTGAAGGAGACACAGATGTATAGAACAGTCTATTGGACTCTGTGGGAGAAGGCGAGGGTGGGATGATTTGAGAGAATAGCATTGAAACATGTATATTATCATATGTAAAATAGATGACCAGTGCAAGCTCAGTGCATGAAGCCGGTCACTCAAAGCGGTTGCACTGGGATGACCCTGAGGGGGTCGTCCTGAGGGGTGGGGTGGGGAGGGAGAGGAGAGGGGGGTTCAGGACGGGGAACACAGGCACACCCATGGCTGACTCATGTCGATGCATGGCCAAAACCACTACAAGACTGTAAAGTAGTTAGCCTCCAATTAAAATAAATAATTTAAAATTTTAAAAAGAAATTGAAAACCTATTTTAAGGGTTAAAAAGGAGTGGAGGGAAAATACTAGTATAGAAGACATGGAAAGAAGTAACGATAGATGTATAATTAGAATCCCTAAAGAATAGAACCAAGACCATACAGTGGAGAAAATGTTTCAAAGTGACAATCAAGACAGCTTTCCTGAAATAAAAGGGACAAAACCTAGTAGCTTTATCAGACGAATGATAAAGAAATAATCGTTTGAGCAGCTGAGCAAAAAGATCAAGTCACTTGTACTGATAAAAGGGGGGAAATTGCCTGGCATTAGGTCTCTCCACCACTATGTAAGCAGAGGGGGAAACAGAGTAACCAACAAGATCCTTAAAAAACACTGTGAGCCACGAATTTCGTTTCCAGCCAAAGTGCCCTTCAAGTGTAAGGCTACCATCTTGAACAATGCAAACACCCAGGGAATATTGCTCCCAGGAGCCATTCTTAAGTTTTAGCCAAGCAACGCCATTGACAAAAGCAATGGCAAAACCATGATGTAACCCATGGCTAGAGATGAACACTGACAATCTTTAACTGTAGAACTGTGAGTAACACAAATGGGAGTGCCCAGGAAGCAAAGCAGAATGTGAAATACACACCCTGACGTTACAGAATGTTACAATGAGTGATAATTGAGAGCGGAAGGGGAAAAGACGTTGAGATGCTGAGCAAGTTCCCTGACTGCACTGAATATGATAGCTGAGAGCCAAGAGTTATTATTTAAAGTGGGCAAGTTGTCCGACAGAAGCTTAAGCATATTTAATAATGTAAAAGTAAACACTGATAGGATGGCCTCAACTGAAACTGTGTGGTGGAGAAAGAGATGTCATCACCCATAATAGAAGGCTAATAAATACAGCTTAAAGATTTGAACCCTAAGGTTATTATATGCAATTATAATTATAAAGTTAACCCGTATGACAAACCATTTAACACCTAGGACAAAAATACAAGACTCCCCGAGGATCAGATAAAAGACACAGAAATACAATAAGAACAAAAATTGGTGCAGGAAGTAGGTAATCAGAGCTCAGCTTATGATCAGCTGTGAAGAGCATTTACCTAGCAAAGTAAAGCAAGCATTCACTTTTGATCCAATTAAACCATAAGAAAGGAAGGAAGACGGGAAGAGATCCCTTCTACTGTGGGCAGGGACGAAGAAAGGGAATTAGTTCCCATCTTCCTCAATGGGAAGTCAAGAAATCATCACTAAAATAAAATTTGGGAAGTGCAGCACAAATGTGATATTTAAAGACATGGAGATCAAAATAATCAAGCAAAACAGATGAAAGCAATGTAACCAGGGGAGGTTAAAAAAAGAGAGAAGGGCAGAGACTGCTGTTTTTCATAACAAACTTTGTAGAACAGTTTGGTTCCTCCATGAATAAGTTTAATAAGTACACTTTTTAAAAAGGAATTTGAACTCAACTGAGCAATCTGAGTTCAACTGACCAATTCAGAGATTGATTTTTTTTTCACTTTAACCTTCCCATGAGGTCCATTTAAACTAAAGGTCCCCTAGACTTTCATTTTGAAAACTGAAACAGTTCATTCTACTTTTCCTTTTATTGAAAGCTACCACACAAGTACTGCAATAATTTGACAGTGTTGGTGAAGCCTCCTTTGAACCCCCAGCAGTCATATACTCTATGCGGATGAACTGTTGATTTTAGTGCCGTTATTCAGGAGGGCCTGCCGGGGAAAAGATACTTGCAAACACATGGATACCTATGGTGGTGATGACAGTTCCAGCAAAGAAAAAGGCACTTCCAAGGTCCCAGTGACTGCTGTTGTTGGAAGAGTTTCCTATCGGGCTCACTCCTGCGTTGTCAGCGTCAAGAGCGTGCTGCAAGGAAAGTGAGAAAGCGTGAGACTCAGTGACGAAGTTTACCAAGAGTTCCTTGTTCAAGAACCTGCAGTGGTCTCTAGAGGACAGGTTCTGTGGACACAAGTAGAGTCACAGATGAAATTCTACGGTTAGAGAGGAAAGCACAGCCCGAAACTGCACCACCTGTGCCAGACCGCGTGTACCAAACCTGCGCTTCATACCTGACGTCACTGCAGCTTCAACCTGCGCCAGACATGTGATCTCTTTGATATTTATTCTTTTCTTTTAGTGAAGCGCTGTGGATTTACAATGCTATGTTAGTTTCTGGTGTACAGCAAGGTAATTCGGTTGGTTTTTTTTTCTTTATTGTATTCCATTATAGGCCATTACAAGAATACAGTTCCATGTGCTAAATCCCTCTGCTCATCTATCTTATGCAGAGTAGTCTGCATCTGTTAACTTCACACTCCCCATTTGTCCCTTTGGTAACCACAAGTTTGCTTTCTGTGTCTGTGAGTCTATTTCTGCCTTATATATAGACTCTTTTGTATTATCTTTAGATTCCACATATACACAATATCGGGCTTCCTAGGTGGTGCTAGTGGTAAAGTATCCGCCTGCCAATGCAGACACAGGAGACGGAAATTCAATCCCCGGTCGGGAAGACCTCCTGAAGAAGGAAAGGGCAACCCACTTCAGTCTTCTTGCCTGGAGAATCCCACGGACAGAGGAGCCTGGCGGGCTACAGTCCACGGGATCACAAAGAGTTGGACCAGACTGAAGCTACTTAGCACACACACATAAGTGACACGTACGATTTGTCTTTCTCTGTCTGAGTTACTTCACTAAATATGACATCTTTTTTCATAATAGTTCTCTTGTCCTATAAAAATCATCCATTTTGTACAGACCCTGGGAGCATACCTCCAGATGCTAGATGAGATCTGCCCGATTCATAAATCATTGAGTAAAGCCAATTAGATCTTCAAATCTACCTAGTAGAATTTTTTATAACACTATACACTCACTTATTAAAAGTAAAAAATTAGTTTTAAATGGGAGGGGGAACCTGATATATACTATGTTGTCGTTTATGTAAAATTTGCGGGTGTAGGATTCCCAGGTGGCTCAGTGGTAAAGAACCCGTCTGCCAATGCAGGAGACATGAGAGACACGGGTTCAATCCCTGGGTCAGGAAGATCCCCCGGAGAAGGGCATGGCAACCCCCTCCAGTGTTCTTGCCTGGAAAATCCCACGGACAGAGGAGCCCGGTGGGCTATGGCCCAGAGGATCACAAAGGCTGCAAAGGACACAAATGAAGCGACTTAGCACGCACGCAGGATTTACCCAGTCCTGGCACAGGTTACGCAGAACGCAGACGTCTTGTGCGTATCCATGGGAAACTCTGAGGACTGGCACCCAAGCGGTCGTTCTTGGAAGACAGGATTTCAGTTCCTTTCCGCTCTCGTCTGTTTTGTTGGAGTGTTTTACACAGAGCTGGTTTCGGGACTTGAGAGCTGGGGCTCCCGGGTCGTGGGGCCGTGGCTGTACCCCTTACTCACCTCAGAACCTCGGGCAAGTTATGTTCACCCCTCTAAGCCTAAATTTCCTCATCTGCAAACTGGAGATGATGATTCCTGCCCCATAGAGTTATTGTGAGGATGAAATTAGATGATCGATGTAACACGTTTGAGCGGGTGCCTAGCGCTGGAGCAAGGCTTAACAAAGAGCTGCCAATTGTGTGATTGTCATTTCACTGTCCCCCCAACACACACACACACACACACACACACACCCCTCCTTTTTAAAATAAATGACAGTGACTCCTCACTGGCTACTGGATTTGGAATTTCATACACCTTAAAATTCCCAATGACTTGGCCACACTGATGCTCCAACCTCACTTCACACGATTGGGAAAGCCTCCAGCCCCGGGCAGTATGCTCTAGGAGACACCCCCTCACACCCTTGAACCTCTGCTTTGCTCTCCCACAAAGGTGCCTCTCCTTCAGGGTCTAATCTGGGCCCCGGTTCTTCCAGGAGGTTTGGTTTGTTCAGGTTCAGCCCCCACGGGCACCCTCAGCCCAGGACTGATACCTCCTCATCACATTCACCTCACGGGTCTTTGATCACGCGCCCGCTGCTTTAGATCCTTCCAGAGTCTCGGCATGCACAGAACAAGGTGGACAATCCCTCCGCAGCTCTTCCCGAGCGGGCCCTGCCGACCTCTTTCAAGCCAGGGGAGAGGGGACGAGCAGATTTCCACCATGTGAGCCGTGGTGGAAGGGACAGCAGGGGGCTTCAGAGGGAGGTGACAGAAACACGAGCTACTTCTCCAGCAAGGAAGAAAGACTGCATTCTCTGCCGAAAACTCTAACAACCCCCTGTGGATACTGCCAGACACAATTAAATATTGAGATGTGATTACAGTCATCCTAAATAATGGCCATTAAGCTTCGTTAAAACGGGCAGACAGTGGTTGCCACAAATTAGATTACAACTGAAAAAGTCAACCATTGTTAGTTACATTTTGCCTTCGTTGATCTGAGATATTTCCAACTGTTTAGACCAGGGATCAACCCATTTCCAGAAAAAGCCAGACAGTAAATATTTTAGGTTTTGTGGGCCACATATGGTTTCTGCTGCATATTTTGCCTTTCTTTTTATAGCCTTTTAAATATGCAAAACCATTCTTAGCTCACAGTTGTACATAAACAGGCTACTGGCTGGATTTGGCAAACGCCCTAGACAATTGTTCGATCCCTGGGTTGGGAAGATCCCCTGGAGAAGGCAACGGCTACCCACTCCAGTATCCTGGCCTAGAGAATTCCATGGGCTAGTCCATGGGGTGGCAAAGAGTCAGACACGACTGAGTGACTTTCACTTCACTAGACAACTGACAAAAGAAACAAATCTCTTTTGTTCAAGTCTTTATTCTTTCCTGCCTCTAAGAACATGAAATACTACACTAGCCAGTGTTTCTAACATAAACCTGGCAGCCCAGAATTTAAAATCCAGCTGCATGGAATGTGTCTTTGCCCGTGGTTTAAATCAGCCTAATCTACAAAGATCACTTATTCATTGGCGGCTCTGCAATCCTCTGCTTCAGACAGAAGAGAGAGGGTGAGTCCTTTCTGCTGGTAAAATACCCACTTTCACTCTCCTGTGAGTGCCATCAGACCAACCACAGGCCTTAACTTTTATCTCTTCATCATCAATTCAGCTCTGATGGGCCCACCTAGAAATAATATCTCTAGAGGGACAGCTCTAGACCTCAGTCACTTGAGTGGCCTCAGATCGCAGCATCAATACCTCCCGCTGCTTTAGATCCTTCCAGAGTCTCGGCATGCACAGAACAAGGTGGACAATCCCTCCGCAGCTCTTCCCGAGCGGGCCCTGCCGACCTCTTTCAAGCCAGGGGAGAGGGGACGAGCAGATTTCCACCATGTGAGCCGTGGTGGAAGGGACAGCAGGGGGCTTCAGAGGGAGGTGACAGAAACACGAGCTACTTCTCCAGCAAGGAAGAAAGACTGCATTCTCTGCCGAAAACTCTAACAACCCCCTGTGGATACTGCCAGACACAATTAAATATTGAGATGTGATTACAGTCATCCTAAATAATGGCCATTAAGCTTTGTTAAAACGGGCAGACAGCGGTTGCCACAAATTAGATTACAACTGAAAAAGTCAACCATTGTTAGTTACATTTTGCCTTCGTTGATCTGAGATATTTCCAACTGTTTAGACCAGGGATCAACCCATTTCCAGAAAAAGCCAGACAGTAAATATTTTAGGTTTTGTGGGCCACATATGGTTTCTGCTGCATATTTTGCCTTTCTTTTTATAGCCTTTTAAATATGCAAAACCATTCTTAGCTCACAGTTGTACATAAACAGGCTACTGGCTGGATTTGGCAAACGCCCTAGACAATTGTTCGATCCCTGGGTTGGGAAGATCCCCTGGAGAAGGGAACAGCTACCCACTCCAGTATCCTGGCCTAGAGAATTCCATGGGCTAGTCCATGGGGTGGCAAAGAGTTAGACACGACTGAGTGACTTTCACTTCACTAGACAACTGACAAAAGAAACAAATCTCTTTTGTTCAAGTCTTTATTCTTTCCTGCCTCTAAGAACATGAAATACTACACTAGCCAGTGTTTCTAACATAAACCTGGCAGCCCAGAATTTAAAATCCAGCTGCATGGAATGTGTCTTTGCCCGTGGTTTAAATCAGCCTAATCTACAAAGATCACTTATTCATTGGCGGCTCTGCAATCCTCTGCTTCAGACAGAAGAGAGAGGGTGAGTCCTTTCTGCTGGTAAAATACCCACTTTCACTCTCCTGTGAGTGCCATCAGACCAACCACAGGCCTTAACTTTTATCTCTTCATCATCAATTCAGCTCTGATGGGCCCACCTAGAAATAATATCTCTAGAGGGACAGCTCTAGACCTCAGTCACTTGAGTGGCCTCAGATCGCAGCATCAATACCTAATATTTACAACTTCTATGAAGCTGTGAAAAGAGTTTGGCTTCAATCCATCTTCACTGTGCTAAGGACGGCATGTTGACATCCAAAGCAGACCCAGTGCCACATATAGACAGATTTGCAGCAAAGACAAAAAGGGGTAATTACTGGCTTCATCAAAAAAAAATCCAACGTTAAGATTCCTTTTCAAGTCTCTTTTCTTTGAATTATGCAATTGATAAATATTTAATGTTTACATATGTAACCCTCAAGGAAAGTATCTATCGGTTGAAAGGAAAGGAAGTTAACATTGGTTGAGTGTCTGCATTGAGGCAGAAGCGTTCTTCCCTTTAATCCCTTCCACAACTTGTGTGTTATTCAATTCTATTCTTTCTACACTTGCGAGCACGTCACATTACCTCCCCCTTTCAAGATACGGAAGCAGGCTCAGGAATGTCAAGTACCCCTTCTGTGGTCACACAGCCAGGAAGGGGAGGGTTCAGAATTCAAGCCCGGACTGATCCAAAACCATGGTTTTGTCCTGTCCTCTG